GCTTCCACGGACCCTTCCGCGATGATTTTCTTGGCAGTTGCTTCCGCTATGCTTCCGCGAACAGCGTTTCTGCTCTTACCGTATGTTTCGTGGGGTCGCCCTGAGCTTCCGCAGGTTGTGCTTCCGCAAGCCTGATGCTTCCGCGAAACCTTCCGCATGCTTCCGCGCGCACAGCGGAAAGCACTTTTCGGAAACCATCCCGAGAGATGCCAGGAGTTATTTCCGTATTTAAGTATCAGTAGACAAGCGCAAAAAAAGTGGCTCATTTGGGGTTTCAGGGGTTTGGGATTGAGGGGTTTAGGGATTTAGAGAAGTAGAGTTTGGGGATTAGGGGGTCAGAGGTTTCGGGTTGAGGGTTTAGGCTTTGAAGCGCTTGGGATTCGGCTGCAAGAGTTGGAGCCTTGAGGGGTTTTGGGCTTCAAGTGCGTTGGCTTGGTGAGTTCTCCCCCGGGTGGCGTCAGGAGGCAGCGGGGAACGCTGGCGCGAGAAATTGCGGACAAATAGAAGTCACGCCTGTCGCAGACTTGATTTTCCTGTTTCGCCACAAGCGGGCGAGAATACGGGCAAACTTCGTTGGTGTAGATGTAGGCTTCTTAGCTGAGCATGTAGATGGAATGCAGATGCAAGTCCATCCGCCCTTAGGGTTTAGGGCTTATTCGGGTTTATCCGGTTTGGTCCGCTGCAAAGGCACGGCCGACAAGACATGGCAGTTTGAGGAAGTGGAGGGGCCCTAAACCCTAAACCCCAACATAAACCCAAAACCTTCTTATGGGGCAACCCGATAGGACCAGTTGTGGGTAAGCCCCATTTCGACACACACTTTCCTGCTCTCAACCCTTTTCAACACGGATTCGGCCCTCTAAACCCCAAGCCATTATGACCCGGTTAGGGTTTAAGGTTTAGGGCTCACGCTGTAGGACCCCTGACCTCGGCCCCAAACTTTCAATTCCGAACCCCTGAATCCTGATCACGTCAGTTCAGGATTCAGGGCTCATCCTGCCCTCCAGAATGCTCGATGATGGCTACGCATGGCATCCGCACAAAGGCCTCATGATCAACTTTCGGAGTAGGCCCTAAACTCGAAAGTCTAAACCTTGAACCCTAAACCCATGGGCCCCTAAGAGTTACGGCCGTTGCCTCGGCTGCGACGCAGATGGCTGCGTCTCCATCGCAGGGATTCCTGGCATCACTGCACGCATGCAGAACTGGGGACTTCTTTAGTCCCTTCCCTCATACTAGTTTGGGGTTTAGAGTTTAGGGTTCAGGAACCTCCACACCCCCTACAGCCGTTGTAATTCTTTGTTAGTGGGATGTGGGAGGGAGTTATAACGGACCATCCTTGAACCAGAACCCGGGGCAGCACGTCAGCATTGCTTCTGTGAGTTAAACGCCCAACCTGTGTCGTGCAAACGGCAGCTTGTGAAAGAGCCCCCACCAAGATATAGGAGTAATGGAAAAGAAAGATGGAAACGACTACCATAGGGAATATGGGGATAGGATACATTATGTAGGGATTATTTAGGACTAGGTTCCCCAGTAACCCCTAATAATCAGGGTGCCCTTTTCCTAATGTTCACCTTTATTCAGGAGACCCCAAAATTAAAAGGGAACAAGAGTACTACTTGGGTTCCCAACGAATTAGACAAGAACCTTCCATCTCCACAAGCTCCCGACGCCTGCCCCTCCCTGTGGCCTGCTCGCGGATTGTTGGCGGAGCCCACACCCCACAGGTACCAGTATGCCTGCGGTTGGGGTTCAGCATCTAGGCTTATGTCTGGGTTTACTTGGGGTCCCCTAACAAGCAACATTGCTAACAAGGATCCTTGTGGAAGCTGCTGTCGACCCAAGGTGTTCTGCGAAAGGTCCAGGCCATATTTGGAGTGTTGAACGGCTTCCCATTGTTTGGGCCTACGAAAACTTAACGTCAAGGGTATCCCTAAACCCTAAACCCATATCTGTGCAAAGAGCCACTTGGCTTGCATGTTCATGCCGGGGTTTTCGACATTTGGCGGCTCCTTTTTGGGAGCTTCAAGAACGTGTCAGGGTTTCGGGTTTAAGTCCCCTGTTCACAGACACTACCATGTTACACCCGTCCATTCACTGCGCTCTACCGGACATCCAAGACTTAACCCCAACCCCAAACATATGCTTCACACTCCAAGACCTGAATCCCGAGGTCAAAGCCCAAATCCTTTAATAACCCCGGGTCCAAACTCCAAGCCATAGAAGCCCTACAAACCCTAAATCCTAAACCCTAAATCCTAAGCCACTTAATTTAAGCCGGAAACCCTAGTAACCACTCGAACCCTAAAACCCCAAACCCAAACAAGTACCCCCCGAACCCTATAGTCCGCCTTCAGTACATAGAATATGGCTTTGGGTATACTATAATAAGATCCCCACATACCCCATATTCTATCTAATTGAGGGGGGCTATAAATCTTTCATCTCCTTGCAAGGTGCCTGGGCACCAGTAGCATTGCCCCAGGCGCGGGCCGAGCGGCGGGCCACACAGGTCATGATCCTATCCGCATAAACCTGTTTCGGGTTTAGGGGTTGGGGTCTAGGGTTTAGGGGTTGGGGTTTAGGGTTTACGGGTGTAGGATTTCGGGGTGTAGTAACCGTGGGCAAGCCACTTAAAAAGTTAAGGGTTCTCTAAGACTGGGGATTGGGGTCCGGAGTTTACGGCTTTGGTTCACGGTTTGGGGTATGGGGGTTCCTCAGAAAGATCCTTGGGGTATGCAGGGATTCTTCAGAGAAGCTCTCAACAGTCACAGGGCACAGGGCTTTAATTTAGCGTCCTCTAGTGCTTACGTCTAATCGCTTCTGCAACTCCTGAAAAACCCTTACAACTCCCACAGAACAAAGCAAACCACAATTCATAGTGGCCCATTTTGGTGGGCACCTGTCAGGAAATAGTGGGTTTAGGACTGTTGCTGCTTTCGCCCTAAGGGTTTCGGAATGTAGGGGCACAGGTTGGAGCCTTGAAAGTCTGACAGAGGTCCCACTAAACCCTAAACCCTAAACCCCAAGCACTACAGTAAACCCTAAATCCTAAAATTCTTGCTCTGGTTCTAAGCGCTCTTGAGCATTCCTTGTAAGTCTAGCGTGTGGGCACGGTGTTTGGGGTGGACAGATCTCTACCCTAAACCCAGGAGCCCGATAGTCCCCCTTGAGTAGATAGAATATGGCGTACATGGGGATCTTTTTATAATGTACCCAAAGCCATTTTTTATCTACTTAAGGGCACCCTAACCCTAAGCCGTGCTTAGGGAGGACGGTCCAAAATTCCTTCGCAAAAAAAGGTGTTTTGCCTGGCAGTTGATTCTCAATGTCTGCTCTGCTGATGTTAGCCTTACCTGTGCCCCAAAAGTATGTAGAATGACGTCTTATTGGGCTGTTTTTACTGGTTTAGGGCTTTCATTTTACATACATTTGGGGTTTGGGTACGAGTTAGGGAAGAAAGGAGCTGTCCCACTTCAGCACCGGCAACGAGCTAGGAGTCAGGACTACTCTTTTCCGGACAACGCAGGCCAAGCCACGCGTCGAGCAGCCCAATATGCAGGGGACCTGGATTTTGGGGCTTAGGATTTGGGTTCAAGGTTTATTAGGATTTAGGGTTGTGGGGGTTGCCTCCTGCATGCATGGTAAAATGAGTTTTGCACGGGTAATCTGGCAAAATGGACACCACATGCCTACATTCAGCAACTCCATCTACACTGATCCGAATTCGAAAACTGTGTTATACGCAGGGTTTGGCTAGCCTCAAGTTCAGCCTTTGGGGACTACTAACTAATGACATTGATCCATTCCTTCATTCCTTGTCAACCATTAGTAACAAAATGCTCGCCTTCTAAAGCATCGAAGCCTGTCCAAAGGGGGCTCCTTGGGCAAAGCTAGCTTGACTCCAAAAGCCCGCGTTGTACCCTATGCACTTGATGTTTGAATCTATACCTTGCTGCCCAGACCCAAAAATGCTTTCCTAGGAATAAAACCCTGACGTCTGCGCAGCAATGCAAGCAGTTGCCCTAAACTCTGAACCCCAAACCCTACAATATCGTTTCAGCAATATCAAGCCCCCGCCATTTGCCCTGAAAAAGGGGACTTAATGGTGTATCTAGTTCTTAGGGCTAGAAAGCATTCAAGCACCCTAAACCCGAATCCCCAAACCCTGTAACCCTATAAACCCTAAACTCTAATCCTAATCCCTAATCCCCCAGATCACTAAACCGGAATGCTAATGAATCAATGCCATGGTGGCCATCCCTCATGCGAGAACTTGTTGGCCTGCAAACAGGCGCGCTCAGACCGGGTTCAGGGCTTAGGGCTTGGGGTGTAGGGCTTAGGGTTTAGGGTTTAGGGGTTTAGGGTTTAGGGGTTTAGGGTTCAGGTGTTTAGGGTTTAGGGGTTTAGGGTGTAGGGTGTGGTTGAACCCATTACGGTTATGTTCTGCAGATAAGATACTAGACCCAAGCAGAGGACATAATCCTCCTATGTATTGGGTAGATGATCAAGAGTCCTGCCGCTAACATTGCCAGTATGGCGGCTAAGTTCTCCTATGCCTTCCCATTTAACTTACAGGCTTCCAAAATACCTTTCCAGCAAGGACCGATAGATCAACCCCCACATGCAGTTTTGACACAGTGCCATTATTTAAGAATAAACAAGATACGAGGGCTTCAAAAAGCAGGGGTCGCCCTCACATGCCCCAAAGCTTTGTAATCTGGACGATTTGGCCAGGGAAAAAACGATCCAAACAAACCCTCAAAGACTCATGCGTGCCAGGAGGGTGCACGATCATACTATAGTCCCCCTTAAGTAGATAGAATATGGCTTTGGGGTATGTTCTACATTCTATCTACATAGGGGGGACTATATTCTCGCCATGGGATTTGTTCGTGCGGGTCAGAGCTTCACAAGCCAGGATCTTGAAAGTTGCATCTAAGAGCAGTGCAGGTCTAGTGGGCCTGGTATGCTGCATGCCGTACGCGGTGCCTGCTTTTTGGGGTTTAGGGTTTACGGCTTACATGTAGCAGATTTTGTGGCCACCTGCATTGCGTAACTCAACATCCCTGCGACTATCCGTTCAAACCCTATGAATGAAATTCGAGCATCGTCTTTGAGCTTGCGAACTGCAAGCAAACACACATGCCGGAGAAATCGTGTGTGCCAGAATAGATGCTGTACTGAATTAAAGAAACGGACCCGAAATAGAAAACACTCATATCCTAAATGCTGAACCCAAGTCCTATCCAAGTCCCAAGCTCTGCAGCCTAGGCAACAGGAGTGAAATGCACTGTTGAAGCCACACATCGTGCGAGTACAGTCAAGTGAAGGCTATGTGTATACACCTATATATTAGGAGGACCCCCCAC